CAACCCCTTGCCCAGATTGCATGTGGTCTTTATTATTATGATAAAAAATACTGATTATAACTGCTTTTAGTTTTTTAGTCTAAGCTGATCAGTGTGAGCCTGTCGGACAAACTGTGGCCTGTGAGTAACCCCAATGAATGTAGATGCTGCATTGCATTTGAACTGAGGTCATTTGGTTTACACTATCAGCATTACATGTTTTGTTTTAGATAGTGGAAACAAATTCTATTGCTATTGGGGCTATGCTGAAGTACAGTGATGTGATTTGTCTGTTTCCCAGGTTACCATAGAAAACATGACAAACGTTAACTCTAACAACAAGGTGGTACATTTTTAACAGCGTCAAAGTGCAGTGTCCTAACTCTGTGATGTTCTCAGAGGCTTTAATGATGTAGGCTAGGAAACAGGACCACCTGTAGTCATGAACTCTGTTCATGGATTATGTTGCCCAATACTTTATTTCTCTTTATCATTTGTTCTCCATTACTGCGATTGTGCAAATACATCAAACACGTCAAATTATGGCAAATCTCTGCAGTTTCTTCTCTTTTTACTTCAATGTTGTTGACATCAAATTGAAAAAGAAAAAGACAGGATAACATCTTAAATTCATTCCATATTTTATTTTCCTCCACTTGAAAATTGTGATGTGTTTTTACTCACATCAGCATCTTGTATAATTGTAACTTGTGCATAGTTTACACAGCATGGTTGCAGCTTAGGTGACAGCAGTATGCCCTTTCCCTCACCACAAATAGCTGCAAATTTGTTGGCATAAGTGGAAAAAAGAAAACCACAGGTACAAATATAAATTTGCTCTCAACAGATTTGCAGCATGTTTTTTGGAGATACAGTATGTTATGTCTTCCCAGACAGCTGTAGAGTCAAAATCTGATTCCATTTTCTTCTATTCAACTTCTGCATATGTGATAACAATAGCAGACCGACAGAGCAGAGGTGGGAATTTGTGTGTTAGTTTGGACAGCTTACACAGCCTTGTTAGAATACACTCCTGTAAGAAAACCATGCTGTGTGGCTGTAGCAGCATGAGAACATGTTCAGCGGTGTTTATTTTGGAAAGATAAAAGGATGTAGAGACAGTGGATGCTGAGAGGCAACCACAGTACGCAACGCTAACATGGGAAATTCTTCTGTGCAACAGCAGATAAATTGGCAATTTGAGGTGATTCATTGGTCAGATTTTGCTGAGACTTTGACAGCTGGTTTGGTGGAGACCTCTCTGGAGAAGGATCCTGCTGAGTACATGAGAGTAATTTTGCATTTGGGATTTCTTGGAGAAAACTATGTTACTGAAAACTCAACAGGTCATCTTTCAGAACAGTCAAAACCTCTTTTTGTGGCAGATTTGTGCTGAAAAGAAGACGCCCAGACGTTGAGCTGAAAGCCAACGATTTCTGAAGAGTCTTGGCAAACCTGGGACCAACCTCAGAAGGCAGTGGTGACAACATGTCCACTTGTTACATCCTCATGTTTGGTTGTCTGCTTAGTGCCAACTGGATGTAAAGTGGGAGACTGTCAGACAATGTGTGGTCTGATTGGTTTCAAGTCTTCCATCACAACCAAACATGTGGTTTGGTTGCTGGAGCTGCAGCGGTTTCCTTCATACTTTGCTGTGTATATTTTATTGCCCTTCACCATGAATTAAATGAAAAAAAGATGAATAATCAAAAATGATAACTACAGTGTTGTTTTAGTGTTGGTAAATAAATTTTTACATGATTTTCAGTTAGAATTAGTTTGAAATTCAGTTCAGTTTAACTTATTTAATTAGGATAAAATCCAATTAGTGTACATGTGTAAAAACAAACAAAATACAGCAAACATCAATGACAACCTTCGCAGTCAGATGCCAGTTTACATTTTAAAATCCTGTAAACCTTGTTCCCTGGTATACCTGTCGAGTTGATTACAGATAATGGTACAATAACAAAAACAAATGTTTTACATGAAGTCATGAAACACATAAAACTAAAAATAACCAAATGCTGTACACTTAAAAACTAAATGTGGAATTGTGAAATAAATACACTGATACATATTTAAATACACAGTGAAAAGAGGCTGCACAAAAGCCTAATAAGTGTCTATAATCTCAGTTAATATTGAGATAATATTGTATAAGGTGGTAATTTATTTAATGTGCACATTAACAATGTTTATAGATACGTTAAACATCTAGTTTGGAAAGTGGTTGGAAAGTGGCCTGTTTCTTCTGAACTCACTCACCTCAGCGTTTCAGGGTGAAAATGAGTCTCTCCTCAGCAAAGAGGATTGGATGAGTCTTCTTGATGGAAATGTCATGAGAGTTTATTCAGCAGCAGGAAGCCGGGCTTTATGAAAACACCAGTGCTTAACGACAGACATTTGTTCCAGCTTGTTACTTTTTAGTATTTTTTTATGTATTTTTTGCATGTTAAATGAAGCACAGCAGAGAGCTTAAGTCATGCCTGGCATCAGCTGGCTCATCCTGGGTTTACAATCATTGGCTCATTCACTGGCTGTTTGGCAGTAAGCCATTGTAACCTGACACTTATCACTGTCATTCTGCTGATACGCTCATGCCACTGATTCATATAAGGTTTAATTTAATTTAAAATAAGATACATTTTTGTTTGTGTATATTAATGGTAATCAGTCCTCCCAGCAGTGTGAGCTGCACTGACCACATTATCCTGTAGAGCAGGGGTCTTAAACTCAAATGGGCACAGGAACCTTTGATCTGTACCATTGTTTTGCACCAAACAAAATACTTAAATATGTTTTTATTCATATGAAGGGTAGTTTGAATTGATATGAAACAACTAGAAAAAATAACTTAATCTTGCTGTCTGGATTATATTATATTTTTGACATCATCTATTGGCAGTTTCACCCTCCTGCTGTAGAGGCATGAACGCAGCTGGCTAGAAGGGTCAAGAACTTGTATATAGCACACGTGGTCTCTTCTTTCAGTATCCCCTATTGTTAAAAAAATGTTAAATCTCCCCTGATTCATGAGATTGCCTCTTGGAGGATGACCCTTCAAAATCAGAATTATCTCTTGGTGCTGTTATAATCGTCACAACAGCGACATTTTACCCCCTCGAAAAGAAAACGTTATTAGTCTCCTCCAATCTTTCTGCATTGCTTTCTCTACCCTGAAGCTATTCCCCCCCCCCGCTGTCTGCAAATCTGCAGTGTGAAGTGCCATTGATTGACAGATTCACAGATGAACATAAAAGTACTCTTCAGTGAGCTGATGAGGCAAGCCTTGTACGAGTGACATACTAGTACCTGAGGAACATAAATGTACGTCTGTACATTTGACAACTTAACCTTTAAACTTTAAAACAGTAGGAGACAAAGCGCTTTTTTTCCTGTGCATTATGAGACAACCTTGGCTGTGAGTCATATAAAGCTTCAGTACTGAATGTATTATTTGCTCTCACTCAAAAAACTAAATGAAAAAGGCAACGTGGCAGCGTCTGAAATTCCACATATCTTTGTACAAACACCTCTGTGTGTTTAGACTTCACACTGCATGGTTGAACATAATGAGGACTGAACGCTAGTTTAGTTAAAATACACATGAAGATCTGCAAAAAGAAGCCTAAGTATAGATCCTACAAATTCACCAGTGATTCATACACATTATTTCAGTGTAACATCATCACTGCTGCATTTTCTAAAGGCTCCAGTTATCATAAGTGAAGGACTGCAATAGCCTGCTTTGAAAAAACTCTTCCAACACGGAGGCGATTTCTGTTTACGTGCCTCTAAGCAGTTAATTAGAAACACATGGCAGCACATACAGTAGTAAATGGGAAACAAAACAAAACAAAACATGGGCGATGAAGGATTTTTGCGAGTTTGGATCACAGAACGTCAGCAATTTACCCTTGAACATTAAACTACTATTATAAAACAGCTCATAGTTTGATCACAATATAAGGACAGTTTTTAGTTCTATGAAAAGTAGTTTTTTTACTTTACTAAATTAATCTGACAGCTATAGTGACTGTAGATTGAGATTTTATGGACAAACATTAGTTTAGAAAAGTTGATGCATTGTCACAGATTAAACTACCCACCCAGTTATTAAGTCCTGAAAACTACTTTACCTTGACCAGCTACAACATCAACGTGTAATTTACACACACAATGCATTAATAACAACAATAAACACAGAGTATTATACACTTTTAGTTTATTTAGTTTATTAGGTACACCAAGACAAAACTAATATAGTGCAGTTCAAAATCCTGCAAAACAATCAAACTGTTGAATCAGCACCTTTCTAAAGCAGAACAAGAAAACTGAACATTATAAGCTTTGTGAAGGTGGGATTTACTGCAGAATGGTTTCAGACTTTATTAGTTTTGGCTAAAGGTAACATTAACTGCCAACTGAGTGTATATTAACTAATAATTACCTCTCTAAAACACTCTAAAAGGTCCCTTATAAATCATACCTGTTGATACTTTAGTACATTTTACTGATAAGACTTCTGCAGTAAAATGACTTTAACTTGTAAATCAGTATTTCTAAAGTTAGTTACAGACGTTTCACACATGTAAAAACAGGCACAAAAATATAATACAATATATAACAAATAATACAAGTATACTACTTTTGCATGAGTAAAGGATCTGAATACTATAATAACTCTCTTCGCCTTTGCTGCAATGATTTAAACTTTATCTTTACTTTTTATGGACGAGCTGGTGTCACCACCTGCAGCCGGAGCACAGAGATAAAACTCTCCAGAGCCCAAAAGCTGCAGATAAAAACACGTGCAGGCAGCAGCCGGAGTGGAAACCTGAGAAAATGAATGTCTCTAGGACCAGCAGGAGCCTGTGTGACTGGTGACTAACACACAGCGAGAGAGAGAGAGAGAGAGAGAGAGAGAGAGAGAGAGAGTAAAGGGAGAGAAGGGAGAGAGAGAGAGAGAGAGAGAGAGAGAGAGGGAGAGGGGGGTTGTCGTCACTGGGATCTGCAGCAGCAGCATCAGCATCACCGGAATGAGTAACAGTGCGCAACTTGGAGAAACAACTACACTGTCCGGAGGAGCGCGCGCGCCTGTGTGTGTATGTGTGTGTGTGTATGTGTGTCCGCTTACTGAGTGCCTCACGAGCCTGGTTGTGATGGTGTGCTGAAGCTATACATGAGGACTTAAAGGGGCCAAAAAAAAAAAAAAAACTGCACGAACTCTCTGTGGATCTGCCGAAAGAAAGGAAGCCATGGATTATATAAAAAACCACAATACTTGCCTCTCCATCGTCATCTTGATGAGTGAGTACAGAAATTCATTTTTATCTCAATTAGCAGGGTTGTTAGTGTTTTACTAAAGCAGGGCGACATGTTAAACCACTCTAAACTTTTCCCTCTTTAGTCCTTTATTACTTTATTTTGTTTCTTTTACATGATTGAATGAATCAAAATCCAAAATACAGCCCATTCTAACCAAATATAAAAATAAAATCGTCTTCAGAAAAGGGCGAATTTAAGCGTGTTGACTTTCCTGTTACACTAATATTGGGAGTTGGTTCATGTAGATAAACAGTAGGTGGCGCTAGTTCTTCAGTCAGGTGCCATTAAATTAAACGAGCGTCAGTAAAACCCAAAATGTTGGGAATTTAACGTAGAAAAGATGTTATAAATATGTTAATATATTTGTTTTATGTATTAATTTATATTTTCGTCTGCAGCCATCTGCTAGCTTCAGTTCACGTTTACCTAGACACAAGTCACGTGCTTCATGTAGCCTACGTCATGATTCGCTGTTTCGTTGCACAAATTTTTATTTTATAAACACCAACTTTTCAACCTCAGCCAGGCATAAAAGCTTATATAAATATATATAAATAAATAAATATATAAATATGTATTTTCTTTCTTAAATGAATTAATTATAAATAATAAAATAATAAATGAGTTACCTGCTGCCGTTCTGCTGTGTTACTCCAGTTAAAATGCTCCACCAGTTTAAGTATCTAGGCCAGTTTTTAGACCTGCTGCAGTTTGATTACATCTCTTTGAATGCCTGTGAATATGCAGAAACGCTCTCTTATTTCCACACACACACATCTAAAGGTGTTTTCACATCCACTTTGAGGTGTCATATTCTCTTGAGGCACACTTGAGGGAATTTGATTTACATTAATTTACACTGCAGCACCACAACAAGACTTGGCAAGAAATGGTCGTCTGCAACGGCTCTCCTAACAGTTAGTGGGGTTTGCAATCACAGAATATTGCAATGTGTTAGTTTTAGTGCTTATAGAAACAAAATTATAGAAAAAACTACAACATTTCTCTTCAAAAAATATTGTAACAGTGCGACAGATTTATAGGTGGCTGTAACTGTATTAACTCTTAAATGTTTAAGCTAGTGGCCTAACTGAAAAAGGTAAAAACACATGTCTAAACAGTTGTTAGCACACGTTGAAATCCCCCGTCAGTCTTCATTTGTTTCTTTTTTTAATATCAAATCCAAATTAGATTGTTTGCTGAAAAAAATTATATATTATTTGTGCTTCTTGCTTATCTGATCCAATCAGGCTTAATGTCATATGAAGGGAGTGTGTGTTTATGACCAACAGAGGCATGTCATGTGCACATAGGAATTATGATGAGCTCACTTATTGGCATCACTGTGACTTCATCTGGCTTTAAATTTTCCCATGGAGCACATTAGTTCACCTTTTACACTTTAAGGCCAGATGGACCACCTGCTTATTCTGATTGCCAGCCACTTTTTCATGCCAGTGTTTGTGTGTATTAGGATAAATTGTCAGATAAAGCAAGTCTCTTGTTTCACATAGACTTCTTCCCTCTAATGTGGCACCACACGCTTTACACTCAAGGCCTTGTGTGTCGAATATTTATTTTATGAGCTCCGCCAATCAGAAGCCTCATGCCAGAAGTTTTCCCAATAAGACGTCACCGAACTGAATACTTTATTTCACATATCTTCAACAACAGCCCCTTCTCTTTTACAGAAGAGAGACACAGGAGGAGCGAGCCTCTTGGCTTGTCCTCTCTTTTGCTCTAGCAGCCACACTGTAAGTGGCTCTTACTGCAGTCAATCCCAGTGACAGGAGAAAACCCAGGGTGAGCTTTGCCAAAACTCACAGTATAATGTCAGACCCCCCTCCTTCTCTGTTCCTGAATCGTATCCAGTATGCAGCCTACTTGGGGCAGTCCTCTTCTACCAGCATACAGATGCATTACGTCAACCCTGTCTTCTTGTTATTATGTTTACTAATTTGCAACAGCACATATGTTTTACAGTAAGGAAAATGTAATACTGTCCGAGAAACGTTTTATGATGTTGACACTAAACCCATCTGTGAAATGTTATCTACTATATATCCAGCAACTGAAGCCTGATTCACTTTTTTATGGATATGTTTAGGCAATCACAGCACTTGGTTAAAGTTAGGGGAAGATTGTGGTCTGTAAATGTTGAGAAAGTTGACTGTGACCAGGTCTAGACACGCCATGTTTACTGTATTAATATTAAACCCAAACCACAGTTTTCTCCTAACCTCCCACCTCTCCACGATCTGCTGATGGCACAAGAACAAATACTTGTTTTAACTATTTTATGATAAAATTATAGAGTATGTTGCTCACTCCCAGCAGTCTGTTCTTTCTTGCTGTTAGTACTCTTTGCGTAGTACAAAGAAATACATAATACATGCAGTGCAATCACTTTAGTACACTGTCTATATATCCTGGCCTGTGTGCCTCGTGCAGCCTGATTTTCTACAGTAGAAACACAGTAGGTATTAACATCACTGTTTCAGACTCTGTTAACTGTTCCGTTCTCCCCTCCTCTAACATCTCTGCCAGATGCCACGTAGCATCTTTCAAAACGGCACAGAGCGGGCGCACAGCCAAAATGCAAAGTTGTCTTTAAGAGAAAGTGCTTCTTTTTACACTGACTCATGCCATCATTTCTACGAATTACTAGCAAGCCTCTTTTAAGTTCCCCCCCCAAAAAAGAGGATTGGAAAGAAGTCCTTTGTTATCTTGAAATAATTTAAAATATGCAAAAAGAGTTTTCTGCCCTGTTTCCTGTCTTCAATAACAAAAACCAGACGAACTACATCTTTAGGTTCCAGTGTGGGTCCTGGTTTTGATTTATCTTTTAGCTTTTAGTGTTATTGAAGATATTGTGTGACTGAAACTCAAAAGAGACTTACTTAAACCGATGTGGGGTTACTTCAGTGAATATTAATAATGCATTCTGAAACCAGCAAGGCACTTAGACTGTGGAGGTATGACTGCAATGAAAATGTGCACTTCAGGAGTAAATATCACACTGGGTCAGGTAATAGCTGAAGATGGTTTTGATTTGATTGTTGATTGAACAGCAGTGACACTCAAACTGCATTAACAGTGTGTGTGCGTGCAGCTTTAATGATCCCTCTCAAACTAATCGTGTGTTTATTTTGCACCTCTCAGTCCCCATGTGTCTCTATGAATGTTAAAGAAAGACAGGTCTTGTTGCATTTAATCAGCAGAGTTTGAATCTATAGTGAAGGCAGCGTCAGCTCGTCATTCGAGGGATTCTGTTTTAAACCAGCGGACCTTCCAGACTTCATGCACTGATATAGACAAACACCACGTGTTGTTTAATGTAATTTCAGTCAAATTTATTCTGTTAGTTGAATTTAGGTATGAAATTTACCCTGAGATTAAGAGGCATGAATAATAATGCGCACAAATTGATCCTTTTTTCGAGATCAAACGAAACATTGAAGGTTGACCGTACCTTGACCCAAGAGGAGCTGGGTTAAGGCATAAATTGATTAGTCCAAGCCTCCAACATGGTTGGGAATTAGATGCTTATTCACTACAATATCTCAGGAGTCAGATGTCAGATGCTGGTCTGGTGAATATGATTACCCAGTGTTTCCTCAGAGGTGCAAACTTAATCACTTTTGCATGAATATTTTTCTTTTCCCTTCAAAACGTTTAATTTCTTCAGTCTGCCTCCTCTCAGAATTTGTCCCGCAGGCTTTCAGCACAGATATTTTATCAATTAGTTTTCTTTGATCTGTTTGTGTTGATTGTTTTGCACCTCATGAACCAACAATCTGTGACACAAAGAGCCAGTGTTTCCTCCTGTCCTTGTAGTAAAGTTGCTGGATGCGAGTCTAATGCCTGTTGCTCAGGTGTAGCTGGAGTGTAATGATGTCGGCCGGCAAAAAGAGAGAGATCAAAGCTGTGCCTCGGGGGCGTCACTCTGCTGGCAGGATAACAGACGGAGGAGCAAACAGCTGTGAATCTCTCACGTTCAAGGGCAAAGCCAGTCAGACGTTGTTGTTTTTGTCAAAAAACAGTAGAGAAATAAAAGGAAGATGGATAAAGATAGCCAAGAGAGACACAAGGAGCAACACTTGTAAAACATGACATCAAACTGACCGTTGGCAAGAAATTCAAACCAGTGTGAGATGTTAGACTTGGCTTGAAAAGTTGAAGTTGCACTTTTTCCCACAGACACAACACTGAAAGAAATTCTGAAAAACTAAATTAAATTGCCAAAAAACATTTATCCGCTCTCATTTGTCTCACATTTTACTGCGATGTTATCAAAAAGTAAGTGCGCAGTTGGTCTGTTGGTTGAATGAGTTTTCTTTATTGTGGTTTATATTTTGATAAGGGGTTCGTTCAAATACCAAAAACAAAACAAAACCATGTAAGGAAGACAGATAGTGGAGATTTGTGTATACCCACTCCTGTCTGCTCATAAAGCACCAGGGCTAATAACAAAAAAATCCTGTGTGTGTGTTTATTCTGGAGACGCGGTGTTGAGTTTTTCAAATTAAGTCTTTGGCACCTGAAGCACCAGGCAGTATACAGATAATAAGCTCCAGACCTTGGTAGACCTCAATTATCTGGATAGACTGAACTCCAAAAAGTAACAGTAATAATGCAGAGATCGTGCCAATCAGTCATTATGTGAGTAAATGTGTTTACAGTCACAGGTGGTCAAAGGTATTATGCACATTTAGAATTATTTAACAGGAGGACAGTGATATTTCATCATTATGTTTCATTTCACCCTTTTTGATGTGAAAGCAGCAGCAGGAAGCTAACAGTGACAATCCTCTTTGCAGTTCAGCTGACTTTGATAAACTCTTTACAGGTGTTGTGCTAAGGATGATATGGAATAATTCATTTGTTAAACAAGTAGTTGATTGACAAAAGAAAATCTGCTGCTATTTTTATAACTGATTTGACAAATCACAGGTTCCAGCTTATCATTACGTGCAGAGTTT